AGACTTGAAACTTTCCAGAATAATATGAGATAGCCTAGGAATGATGTATGCAAAATTTTATTAAGATCAGATGAACATTTTTGAGTAAATAGGAATCAGTCCACAGTTATTTGCCTTTCGTTGACCACAATAAGGAAGTAAATCCGCATAAAAGAGTGCCTGTGTTTAATGCCAGATATAAATGAATAATTGAATGAAAGGGATAGAAAAAAGGCCATTTCCTGACAGTATTCATTTCAAATATTTGGTAAATGCCAACTTTGATCCAGATTTTATGCGAGTAAGTATTTTTTTAGTGTTTTTCTACATGACAGAATTCACATGGTTCCGGCTAATTACTGAAAACTGTCAGACTGATGTATTTTGAACTGAAATGTTGTGGAAAAATGATACATGACCCCTAGTTTGCTATAGCTGGAATTATTTATCTTGGATGGTACTGTAAGCACAAGTGACTTTGATTTGATTGGAGAGTTAGTAAAATTGCCACAGGGTTTAATGTTTATATAGAACATATAGTGAAATTAATTGTGGTCTGAGGCCAGACGACAGGTTATTCTTATCAGTAGGTTTTCGAGTAAAGATAACAGGTTACGTATCTCACTGTATAAATCGTATGTAAAATGGGCTGACTTGTGGTAGGTTTAACAGTTAATTTGAATACTTTGGTGTCAAAAGATATGTAAAATTATATACTGTGACAAAGCTAAGATTTTAAGCTTTCCATTGATGTAATAATTTTTTAAAATCGGACATTTAATCACTACAAACTAGCGGTTTAAAAATGGCTTAATTAGTCCCCTACCGGTTTAACTGGAGGGGACTTTAGGTTTACCCTCCGTCCGTATGTCTATCTGTCTGTCAGTCCATCATTCAGTCCGTCCACAAAACTGGATCCCGGGATAACGCAAAAAGTACTGAAAATATTTTTATGAAACTTGAAATATGGGTAGATGACAGTCTGGAAATTATGCACATTGTTTTCTTTTCTTCCTATGTTGAAAATTCTGGTTGCTATGGCAACAAATAGACTGAATTTCAAGATTTCTGATTTGAATTTTTACGCTTTTTCGTTATTCGTTATAACTTAGTAAAATTTTGTAATTTTCAACATGTGTCATATGTAACTCAAAAAGGATTTGACATAGAGTCATTAAACCTTATTGGAAAGTTGCTCAGCATATTTAGTTTGTTCCTGGGGTTTCGCTTGTGGATTTATCCAGTATTTGTAGTTATTTCCCTTGACTTAGTAAAAACTATTTCATTATGTTGTTATTTGATCCTTGAGTGCTTGAGTTAGAATCAACCAACTTTACAGGAATAATGATCAACATCACTAAATTACAGGAATTATGATTCACCTCACTGTGAAGCTATGAACCTGGGACTTTGCATGTGGATTTTTTTTCAGTTTTGTCAGAGTTATTGCCCTTGAATTACAGTAGTATAAATTTGCAATTTTCAACTTGGGGTTTGCTTGGGGATTTATTCAGTATTTGTAAAGTTCTTGCCCTTTACTTAGTAAAAAGATTTTAGTTTTCAAAAAATATTTGACCTAGAGTCATAAAGGATTGACAGAACAGTGGCGCGGTGGGGGCACCCGTGTCCTATGGACTCATTTCTAGTTTTTATTAAAGAAGAATTAAAATGATTTGTTACAATAACATTTAAAAATATTTGAAAAATTGTGAGATCCCTTCTTGATGCCTTGAAAATGGCAATGAAGTCTGGAGATTAAGATGTTTTACATCTAGGTGAATCCCCCACCGTCCGTCGTTGTGCGCCGTCAGCAATTTTTTTAAACAACATCTCCTCAGAAACAAATGACTGCACAGCAACCAAACTTTTACAGGAATGATCCTTAGGGTGGTCCCCTGCCAAAGTTGATCAAATGGTTCCGGTCTGTTGCATAAGTAGGTCACAGGGCCAGAAAAGGAGTTTCAAAAATGCAAAATTAAAAAATCTTGTCTGAAAGTACAAGGCCTAGAGCTTTGATATTTGGTATATGATATAACCTATAGGTCCTCTACCAAAATTGTTCAAATTTTAGCCCTGGGGTCAAAATTGGCCCCACTCCAGGGGGTCATAGATTTTCCTTATATGTATATAGTGAAAACTTAAAAATTCTTCTTGTTTGAAGGTACAAGGCTTCAAGTTCAAAGAATATTACAGTTTATGCCATGTATAATGTATAAATAAAGCCTTCTGTCTTCAGTTGTTGTGTTAATAATAACCAGTACTCGGCGGGGGATATAAATTCAACGAATTTGCTTGTTTCTTCAAGGATTTTCTTCAAATTTAAAATAAACATTCATCATCAACACCTACATTATACTTTTGTTTTTAATTTTCATCTTTGCTACTTACTATACATTATAGTTAATGCTATATTTGAAAATTGTTATTTTTTTGACTTATCTTCTTTGTGACTATAAATGGTATCTTTAAACTTTAAAAAAAAGTAAAACTCACATCAATGTTCATAAATCTAGCATCGTTATTTCAAGAGTTATCTCCTCTTTAAGAATTTTGTATTAAAATACATGTATGTTATATTTTGGTCACAGGGATGTTTAAAAAAATAACTTTAATAAGTCTCCTTCAGTCTGTCTGTCTGTCTGTTCATAAAAATTGTTTCCTGAGATCACTTTTAAAGATTTTTTCCAACAAATTTACTTAAATAGAGAAAAGTTGAAACATTAGTTATACTTATTCATCCTGAGAAAATTGGACCTTTTGATTATCTGTTGTATAAACATAATTTCCTTACTAGGCTGGAAAACTTAACACATTACTATGATATAGGCAAACTTAGAACTCAAAAGATTTAAGTTCATTTATGTCATTCATTCACTGGTAAAACTGAATGGCCAGTGGCCCATCAGAATGTTGCTGGGGTTCTAACCAGTAGGGACTTATGGATTGCTTGCAATACTATGATAATTGCTTGTTTGTATTGTTTTAGCATAAGAGATACCAATCTTACTCGAAGATAAGGGAAACAACTCGTACGTTTTCACTCGGTTATTTATGTAGTTTATATGAAAAGTGTTTATGGGTGTATTCTTTGACACTAAACATTATATACTTTGAAGTTTTCTCTGAAAACTAAATGAAATGTATGCTGACAGGTGTTGGCGCAATGAATTAGAGAATAAAGAAATTATTTAACCTGTTTTGTTTTACACTTTGCATTATGTAACATATTTTTCAAGGACTTCAAAAATCATGTGTTATAAAAAATGAAAAAGGGGAAATAATTCACATAAAAGTGAAAGTAGCCTATTATTTTTATTCCTAATTAAATCAAATATTATTCTCAATAAACAAACAAAGTTTAAAAGAAATATCTTTATTATACCTCCAAAAACGAAGTTTTGGGGGGTATATAGGAGTCACCCGGTGGTCGGTCGGTTGGTTGGTCGGTCGGTCAGTCCAGACGTCTGTTGCATTTTCCTTGTCCTGAGCATAACTTGAAGACTAATAGTTGGAATTCAATATAACTACATGTACATACAATGGTCAAGCACATTGAGAGGAAGTGCAGTGTACAAGAACCATAACTCTATCTAAAATCTTGACTAATTACAGAGTTATTGCCCTTTGTTACTTTTCCTTGTCCGGGGCATATTAAACTTGAAAACTGCTGGTTGGAATTCAAAACAACTTCATACAATTGTCAAACACAATAAGGGGAAGTGCAGTGCACAAGAACCATAACTCTATCTAAAGTAATTACAGAGTTATTGCCCTTTGTTACTTTTCCATTGCTTTCTTTTGTCTGGACCATAACTTGAAGACTAATTGTTGGAATTCATTATTACTTCATACAATGGTCAAGCACATTGAGAGGAAGTGCAGGGCACAAGAACCATAACTCCATCTTGACTTGTTACAGAGTTACTGCCCTTTGTTACTTTTCCTTGTCCAGAGCATGACTTGAAAACTACTGGTTGGATTTCAAAACAACTTCATACAATGGTCAAGCACAATAAGGGAAAGTGCAGTGCACAAGAACCATAACTCTATCTAGACTCATTACAGAGTTATTGCCTTTTGTTACTTTTCCATTGCTTTTTTTGTCCGGAGCATAACTTGAAGACTAATGGTTGGAATTCAATATAACTTCATACAATGGTCAAGCACATTGAGAGGAAGTGCAGTGCACAAGAACCATAACTCCATCTTGACTAATTACAGAGTAATTGCCCTTTCGTTACTTTTCCTTGTCCAGAGCTGAGCATAACTTGAAAACTACTGTTTGGAATTCAATACAACTTCATACAGTTGTCAAGGACATTAAAAGGAAGTGCAGTGCACAAGAGCCATAACTCCATTTTGACAAAATACAGAGTTACTGCCCTTTGATACTTTTCCTTGTCCGCAGCATAACTTAAAACATACTGGTTGGAATTCAAAACAGCTTCATACAATGGTCAAGCACAATAAGAGGAAGTGCAGTGCACAAGAACTATAACTCCATCTTCATTATTTATAGAGTTTTTGCCCTTTGTTCCTTTTCCTTGTCTTTTTTGACTTATTACAGAGTAATTCAATAAAACTTCACCAATGGCCAACCACATTGAAAGGAAATGCAACATACAAGAACCACAACTATCTTTAATTACCCACAACCATAACTCAATTTTTCAATCCTTTTACAAGGTATTCTGTTACTAATAACATCCTCATTTCCGAAGCAGTCTTGTAGGGGTATTAATCACATTTAGTGATAGTTCTAGTAACTTTTCTAGAAATATGATATTTTATGTCATAAGCCCGATTGGGCATTTTCGCCAGTCTGTAAAACCCAACCAAAATTAACAAAGAAATCTCTTCTTGACATCAGAAAGTAATTAGTACAATTTATTTACTATCATTTTCACGTAAGAGGTGATACAGTTTTTTCATTGTTAGCACTTTTCAAAAAGTCGGAAGTTCTGTTAATAAATACCTGAGATCAATTAGTGTTTGTAATGTACAATGTTATTTTATTTCACAGGTGCAGGTAGGCAAGAAAGTATACATGTAACCTGAAAACAAAATAATACAATGCTAGCAAAGATAGGATAGCCGAAAAGTTTTAAGGAACGTTTTGGAGTGTGATATCTAAGAATATCCAACTACATGTATCAAATAGAGAAGACATAAGCTAATTTTGCAAAATCTGAACAAATATTTATATCAGACATTTGACAATACATACAGGAGAGAAGAATTATATTTTTGAAAAATGTGTGATAAAGGAGTTTCTGAGAGTGAAAACAACCAAACAACACACATAAAAGCAATTTCTGAGAGTGAAAACAACCAAACAACACACATAAAAGCAATTTCTGAGAGTGAAAACAACCAAACAACACACATAAAAGCAATTTCTGAGAGTGAAAACAACCAAACAACACACATAAAAGCAATTTCTGAGAGTGAAAACAACCAAACAACACACATGAAAGTTAATCTAGGAGAGATTTATTTCTGTAGTATGTGTGGGAACACATTTTCTCAAAAAAGTGACTTTATAATACATATGAAAGTACATACTGGAGATAGGAAACATATTTGTAAAATATGTCTTACAATATTTTCTCAAAGAAGTGATCTAACGGCACACTTGAAAATACATGTAGAAGAGAAAAATTTGAAATTACATGCAGAAGAGAAAAATTATATTTGTGAAATCTGTAATAAAAAATTTCTATGTATAGATAAAGTTGCAACTCACATGAAAATTCATACAAAACATGCAAGAGAGAAGAAATATTGTTGCAAAATGTGTGCAAAAGTATTTAGTCAACCAGGTCATCTTGATAAACACATGGCAGTTCATACAGGAGAAAAGAATCACTGTTGTGATATCTGTGGCAATGTGTTTTCTGAAAGAAGTAGTCTTAGAAGACACATGAAAATACATACAGGAGAGAAGAAACACAGTTGTGAAGTCTGTGGTAAAACATTTACCCGTAACTTCAGTCTTGACATGCACATGAAAAATCATAAGGGACAGAAGGACCATCACTGTGAGACTTGTGGAAAAGGGTTTACTCAAAGAAATCAACTTGCAGAACATATGACAATACATACAGGAGAGAAGAACTTTCATTGTGAAATCTGTGATCGATCATTTTCTCGAAAACGATATCTTCAGAAACATAAAAAACGGCATTCAGGAACAAAGGTATATTGTTGTGAAATCTGTGACAAATGGTTTTCCCAAAAAGACTATCTTTCCCAACATATGACAATACATACAAGAGAGAAGAACTATTGTTGTGAAATATGTAACAAAGTTTTTACTGTAAGAAGATATTTTGATAGGCATAAGAAGATACACACCAGAGAGGAAAGTTATCGTTCTAAAGAGTTATTGAAAGAGTAGTTTGAAATTACCATTATTTAAGAAAAACACAATTTTGGTGAGAAAATCTGAAGGTTTGAAATCTGTGAGGCTTTGTTTACTGAAGAAATTTATTATAAGTAATATGTAGTACATGGCAGCTAAATCACATCAGAGAAAAATTTTCAGTTGAGAAATCTGCAATAAACATTTTTTCTACAAAAAAGATTTTATAAGACATTATCATAATGAAAATATAAAAGGGGGTTATGAAATCTGCAGTTAGGTGTTTTCCCAATTAAATATTTTTAACCAGGTTACCGTTTTCTGAAGGAAAAAACTGGTTATTAGATTGAGGTATGTCGGCGGGCGGGCGGGTGGACGCAAACAATTTCTTCTGTGCGCAACTCCTACATTTCTCAACGGATTTTGACCAAACTTTCACAGAAGCTTTGTCATCAACAGCCCAGGTGCATATTGTCGGGGTTTTGCGATTGGATAATATTTGACCTAATTATGGCCCTTTCTTTTTTTCCTCATATAGAATATATAGTGAACAATTTCTTCTTTGCACAAGTCCTCCTCAATTCTTAACGGATTTTGACCAAACTTTCACAGAAGCTTTGTCATCAAGTGCCCTGGTGCATATTATAGGGGTTTTGCAATTTGATAATATTTGACCTAATTATGGCCCTTTGTTTGTTTGACAGGGTGAGCTTTTGTGATCGCTTTTCATCCGCTGTCCGCCGTCCGTTCGTAAACTTTTACTTTAAATGACATCTCCTCATAAACCCCTGAGCCAATTTCATCCAAACTTCACAGGAATGTTCCTTTGTTGGTCACCTTTAAAAATTGTTCAAAGAATTCAGTTCAATGCAGAACTCTGGATGGCAACCGATAGAAAAAACTTAAAATATCTTCTTTTAAAAAACCCAAAGAGGTAGACTTAGATATTTGGCATAAAACATCTTCTAGTGAGTGTCTACCAAGTTTGTTCAAATAAAAGCCCTGGGGTCAAAATTAGCCCCGCCCCAGGGGGTCATTGATTTTCCCAGTATATGCATATAGTAAAAACTTATAAAATCTTCAATTAAAAAACCCAAAGAGGTAGAGCTTAGATATTTGGCATAAAACATCTTCTAGTGAGTGTCTACCAAGTTTGTTCAAATAAAAGCCCTGGGGTCAAAATTGGCCCCGCCCCAGGGGGTTATTGATTTTCCCAGTATATGCATATAGTAAAAACTTATCAAATCTTCAATTAAAAAACCCAAAGAGGTAGAGCTTAGATATTTGGCATAAAACATCTTCTAGTGAGTGTCTATCTAGTTTATTCAAATAAAAGCCCTGGGGTAAAAATTGGCCCCGCCCCGAGGGTCATTTATTTTCCCTATATGCATATAGAAAAACTTAGAAAATTATCTTTTAAAGAACCGAAAGAGCTAGAGCTAAGATATTAAGCATGAAACATCTTCTAATGGGTGTCTACCAAGTTTGTTAAAATAAAAGCCCTGGGGTTAAAATTGGCCCCGCCACAGGGGTTCATTGATTTTCCGTATATGCATATAGTAAAAATTTATAAAAAATCTTCTTTTAAAGAACCCAAAGAGCTAGAGCTAAGATATTTAGCATGAAACATGTTCTAATGAGTGTCTAAAAAAGTTTGTTCAAATAAAAGCCCTAGGGTCAAAATTGGCCCCGCCGGAGGGTCATTGATTTACCCTATATGCATATATAGTAAAAATTTATAAAATATTCTTTTAAAGAACTCAAAGAGCTAAGGTATTTAGCATGAAACATCTTCTTATAGGTGTCTATCAAGTTTGTTCAGATAAAAGCCCTTGGGTCAAAATTGGCCCTGCCCTAGGGGGTCATTGATTTTCCCTATATGCATATAGTAAAAACTTATAAAATCTTCTTTTAAAGAACCCAAAGAGCTAGAGCTTAGAATTATTTAGCATGAACCATGTTCTAATGGGTGTCTACCAAGTTTGTTCAAATTAGAGCCCTGGGGTCAAAATTGGCCCCACCCCAGGGGGTCATTGATTTGCCCTATATGCATATAGTAAAAAATTAAAAAAACTTCTTTTAAAGAACTCAAAGAGCTAGAGCTAAGATATTTAGCATGAAACATGTTCTAATGAGTGTCTACCAATTTTGTTCAAATAAAAGCCCTAGGGTCAAAATTGGCCCCTCCCCGGGGGTCATTGATTTTCCCTTAATGCATATAGTAAAAACTTATAAAATCTTCTTTAAAAGAACTCAAAGAGGTAGAGCTAAGATATTTAGCATGAAACATCTTCTGATAGGTGTCTATCAAGTTTGTTCAAATAAAAGCCCTTGGGTGAAAATTGGTCCCGCCCCAGGGGGTCATTGATTTTCCCTATAAAATTGTGCATATAGTAAAAACTTATAAAACCTTTTTCAAAAACCCAAAGAGCTAGAGCTTAGATATTTAGCATGAACCATGTTGTAATGGGTGTCTACAAAGTTTTTTCAAATAAAAGCCCTGGGGTCAAAATTGGCCCTGCCCCAGGGGGTCATTGATTTTATTTATGTGTATTATACTTCTGTTGAACTCGTCAAACATTTCTCAATGAATTTTGTTCAAACTTTCACAGAAGTTTTGTCATCAAGTGCCCTGGTGCATATTGTCGGGGTTTTGTGATTGGTTATTTTTTTACCTCATTATGGCCCTTTGTTTTTTTTCCTTTTAGTCAGAATATATAGTGAACACTTCTTCTGTGGCAATTCCTCCTACATTAGTCATGTTTTACATTGCACATAGTTACATTGTTTGTTGCTTGTATTTCAAGTACAAAATATTTATCTACAATGGTGATAATTGAAAACCTGGTTTCATGGCATTGCCATGTTTCTTGTTAAATTACAATACACTGCAGCAGCATTATAACTCTCATGTTAGAGGGCTCAGTACTGCATTATAACGAAGTTCGGATATGTAACGCCTATCAAGCTAGCTTATGTAACGTTGGTTGTTCTACTCCGGTGCCTGTTCATGCCTGAAAAAATTCACGAAGGGGCACCGGATGTCTTCCTCCACCAGTAAAGCTGGAACCTTGCCAAATGACCTATACTGTGTGACGTAAAACCCAAATCAAAGAAACAAAAAAATGTTACGCTTATGATGACATTAATACATTACCCCATATACTGCAGATACATGTATAACCAAAATTATTATTTTTTTAACTCGTTAGCTCGACTTTTTTTTTTTTTTTTTTGAAAAAAAAAGTAGAGGTATTGTTATAGTCAAGTAGCCGTTGCCATTCCCGTCCGCAAACTTGTACCTGGATCATAACTTTTTTATTTCTTGGTGTATTGTCTTCATACTTGGCCACAAAAACCCTTTGGACAAGACCTTTCAGTAGACCACACTAACTTTGACCTTCATCCATAAATGACCTTGACAATCAAGGTTAAAAGTCCAATTTTTGCTTGTTCATGCTGTTATTGGCTGTAACTTTGTTATTTTGGAATGGATTGTCTTCAAACTTTTACATAATAATCTTCAAGGATATCCCTTAAAAATAACCAGCTAGACCTATACCTTTACTCATAAATGACCTTGACTTTAAAGGTCAAATTATTGAAATTTTCATTTTTTTGACTATTATTGGCTGTAACTTTGTTATTTTTGAATGGATTGTCTTCAAACTTGAACATAATTATCTTCAGGGATATCCCTTAAAAACAACTAGACAGACCTTGACCTTCACTCATAAATGACCTTGACTTTGAAGGTCAAATTATTGAAATATTCATTTTTTTGGCTATTATTGGCTGTAACTTTGTTATTTTTGAGTAGATTGTCTTGAAACTTGAACATAATAATCTTCAAAGATAACTGTTAAAAATATACTGAAAGACCTTGACCTTCACTCATTAATGACATTGTCTTTGAAGGTCAAATTATTGAAATTCATTACTGACATTGTCTTTGAAGGTCAAATTATTGAAATTTTCCGCCTCCGTGGTCGAGTGGTTAGAGTCGATGACTTCTAATCCAGTTACCTCTCTGGCGTGGGTTCGATCCCCGGGAGATGCTTTGGTAGTTTAGCGCGGAGGAACGTAGTCAAGTACTGGTGAAACTCTCCAGGAACGATGGTTAGGAAACTACCCGCCTATATGACTGAAATACTGTTGGAAAAAGGCGTAAAATGACACAAACAAACAAACAAATATTGAAATTTTCATTGTTTTGGCGGTAACTGACTGTAACTTTGCTATTATTGAAGGGATCAACTTCATATTATAACAGAACATTCTTAAGGGCCAGACCTTGTTGTTTATCAAACCCAAATTTGTTTGGGCTCTTTAATGACCTTGACCTTGAAGGTTAAATTACTGAATTTTCTCAGATTTGTGCAATAATGACCATAATTATATATTTATTGAAGTGTGTTTGCGTATATATATATCATCATCATATATATATATCATCATCATCATCAACAACAACAACAACAACTATTTATAGAATTGCGTAATGTTTCTATTTATAGAATTGCGTAATGTTTCTGTTATGGAAATTGTGTATAATGTTTCTATTTATGGAAATTGCTAATGTTTCTATTTATGGAAATTGCGTAATGTTTCTATTTTTAGAAATTGCGTAATGTTTCTATTTTTAGAAATTGCGTAATGTTTCTATTTTTAGAAATTTCGTAATGTTTCTATTTTTAGAAATTGCGTAATGTTTCTATTTTTAGAAATTGCGTAATGTTTCTATTTTAAGAAATTGCGTAATGTTTCTATTTTTAGAAATTGCGTAATGTTTCTATTTTTAGTAATTGTGTAATGTTTCTATTTTTAGAAATAGCGTATTGTTTCTATTTTTAGCTCACCTGAGCATATGCTCAGGGTGAGCTATTAGGATCACTCTTCGTCCGTCCAGGGCATTTTTTGTCAAAATTGTGAAGGGGCCTGGGCCTGTTCATTTTGTGAAAAAAAAGCGCGATGCGTCTTGAAATTGTGAAAAAAAAACCTGTAAATTGAAAACAGTAATGCATTTTTTTTTTCAGACTTGAATTGACTTCTATTTTGTTTTATTGACATGCTGTTTCAAAGTTTTAGGTGTCTTTCTTTTGTTGTTAACTAAATTGTATTTTTGAAATTTTCAATGATTTGATTATAGTCCTCTTCAGGGACTGAGAGTATGTATCCTTTCTACACCTGTTTATCCAATTTTATCA